CTCTATGGGGCTCTCCGAAATTGAGCCCGACTTTTTCATGACTTTGTCATGACTGACGCCATGACTTTTTCATGACGCCGACCCCCAGAGCAGGGCTGGACCTAAAAGGTGGTTTTGGCGATTTGTGGGCCCGGTTGGGCCGTCTTCGTTTCGACTTCGTTTTGAGGTAAAGGCGGATTCGAGACAAAGGCGAGGGAAAACGAAAACAAAAGCAACGAAAAAGAAAAACACCGTTTAGGTTCAGCCCTGCCCCAGAGGTCTCGCCTCCCTCCCCGGGACCGCGCAGACCAGCGGCCACCTCTCGCTGCTGCCGGTGCCTCGCGCGGCCCGAGCCGCCCTGCCGCGGGCTGTCCACGCGGGCAGGGCACATCGCGCACGGCACTCGGAGCTACCCCCGGAGGCATCCCCACAGTTCGGCCCCTGCCCCCCTTTGACAGGGCCCCCAGGGGCAGGGCCGGACAGAGTGCCTCAGGCAGGCCTCCCAGAGCGGCCCCAGGAGCGGCCCCAGGAGCTCGACGAAGTGACAACGGCGTCACCGTAAACCTTGGGCGCTCCGCGCGGATTTCTTCGATCCGCGATGGGGCCCCCCAGCGGCGCTTCAGGCGCCGCCACTGGGGCGCTCTGCGCGCCAGGGAGGTCGGTCCAGCGCAGATGCACGAAATCTGCAAAGAGCGCCAAAAGTTTGTGCTTATGCCGTTCTGTTCTTTCCATGAGCGGCACGAGACAATCCCACACCCTCGCGCTTGTTGCGCCTCCTCGCGCCTTTGCCTTTCGAGGCTCCAGTCGGCCGTAGCCTGTGTGGCCGCAGCACTTTCGACGGCCCAGCAGTGCCGATCGAGGGGTCGCAAATCGGGCCCCAGAGGACCGCCCCCAAGAGGGTGCAGATCCGTCACCAGACAGGCCCAGAGGGCCACTATGGGCCCAATAGAGTTCAAGAGAGTTCCAGTACGGCCCCCAGGATCCAGCGGCATCAAGCAGCATACACGAGCAGCCAGCAGAAAACAGCAGCAGCGAGCAGCCACAGCAGCAGCAGGCACCAGCAACCAACAGCAGCAGGCGGTATGATCAAGCAGAGCAAGCAGGAGACGCAGCAGCACATGGCAGCAGCAGATAGCAGCAGCAGCAGCAGCAGCAGCAGCAGCAGCAGCAGCAGCAGCAGCAGCAGCCCCCAGCAGCAGCAGCAGCAGCAGCCCCAGCAGCAGCAGCAGCAGCAGCAGCAGCAGCAGCAGCTGCAGCAATCGCCAACAGGCGGCAGCGAGGGACGGGCGAGCACGGCCAGCAAACCCGCCGGGCATGCCACGAGCTGTCAGGCCAGCAGGGTGCCACCCAAGAGGCACCCAAGACGGCCCGGGAGGGTGCCACCCAAGAGGCACCCCTCCTCTACTCCCTTGGCCAACGTGGCTGTTCTGGTGCCGGCGGCGGCAGCAAGGCGACGGCGACAGCGGCGACGACGACAACCGTGCGCTCCAACTCCTTCGATGCGCGGTCGCGGGGGGTCCCCAGATGTCCCAACGACTCCCCCAGGGCTGGTTCAGGGCGTCCCAGTCGCCATGAGGACGTCGCCCGTTTGGTCCAAGCCTGCTTGCATGGCAGCCTCGCGGAACCGACCCAGCCGCCATGCCCATGCGCCGCCGCCCGAGCGCACATGCATCATCCAGTGCTCGCCGGCCCAGCTTCCAGCAACAGGCGCAGCAGCTTGCCGCTTGGTCACGCTCGAGGGGGCGCCTTCCTCGACGACTCGCGCGAGGGCGTGAAGGGGCCCTGGCCGCCTGGGTGACCCACGTGCGTCATCGCCGCTCCTCTCTAACGAACGACCAAGCCGCGGTCGTCGAGGCGATACCCGGCTGGACGTGGAACACGAAGGTAGACGCCTGGGACCACACTCTCCAACACCTCCGCGAGTGGCTGTCTTCCAAGGGCGGCAAGTACCCGCAGCCTGGCAGCAAAGATCCCGCAGAGCTCCGACTTCTGACGTTCATCAGAAACGCCCGTGCGCGTGCTCGAGCAGGCGCAGGACGTAGCGTCCCTGTGGCCGCCGCCCGCATCGCGCAGCTCGAGGCGCTTCCCGGATGGACATGGGTGCACACCGACTGGCTCTCCAGCCTACGTCGCGTCCAGGCGTGGCACGCCCACCACGGCCGATGGCCTTCGCGTACGAGCACCTCTGCAGAGGAACGCTTCTGCGCCGTTTGGATTAACACAGCCCGAACGCAGCACCGCTTAGGCACGTTGGACTCTGACCGGGTCGCTCGTCTGGACTCCTGGACGTCATGGACTTGGAACGTGCGAGCTGACTCTTGGGAGACTAACCTGCGTAGCGTCCGCTCTTGGCTGCAGGCTAACGGAGGGAAGTACCCGCGCCGAGGCTCCTCCGCCGCGCCAGCAGAACTTCACCTCGCAAGCTTCGTGGAGAACGCCAAGAAAGACGCACGGCGGTTATCTCAGGAGAGACGCGCCTCCCTCGAAACTTTGCCCGGCTGGGACTGGCGCGGTCGTGACATTGCCTGGGGCGACAACTACGAGCGCCTCACGGAGTGGCTTGAGACGCACGGCGGCGCGTACCCATCCACCATCGCCACGCCGTCTCGGTCGTCCACCGAATCGGAACTTGCAGGATGGCTCACCAGAGAACGCGCAGCCCACGCTCGCCATGAGCCTGGGGAGTGCCCCCCAGAATGCGCCCGGCTTTCTGCCCTGCCTGGGTGGTCGTGGACACATCGCCATGGGCAGACATGCAGATTCATCGTCAACCCAGCCACTGCCGAGCAGTGTGGGAGAGCCGCTCTGCTTCAGCCGCACTCTGGTGTCTACTACTGCCGCCTGCACCGGGGCATCCTCGCCCGTGGCGCCCTCACGTCGCGCCTGGGACAGGTGCCAACCTCCACGCCGACACTGGCGGCTGCATCGGGCGCTCCGCTGGAGGATGTCGGCTCCCTGTTGCCGCACCCGGACATCGGCCCACCATCTAAGCGACGACGCCTCCGAGGGAAGCAGACCGTTCCCCTCGCGGCGGCCGCGCGCCCGACCGCCGTGGCTTGCTCGTGGGGGCGTGGCTGCCGGCTCGCCGGCGTCATGCAGCTCGGGAGCGGATGGTTCTGCCCACGACACGCCCGCCGCGTCCGCGGAGATCAATTGGCCGTGCTCCCACTCGCCGACTACACCGACACCGGTGTGGAGCCGCACTTGGGAGGCCGCATGACAGACAAGTGCGAGATGTGCGGGTCCTACAACTTTCCCGAAGAGCGCGTCGGGTCGAACCATGGCCGTCGCCAAGGCTACTTCAGCATCTGCTGCCAACGAGGCGCTGTGCCGCACGCTGTCCTCCGACCTCAGCCACGCCCGCCCGACGTCGTCCTTCGCATCCTCTCTGGAGCGACCTCGACGGACCGCATTGCTCGCGACCACTTCAAACATTACAACAGTGCCTTCTCCTTCGTCTCGTACGGGGCTGACTGCTTCCACGAGCTCCGAGGAGGTGCGGGTCCTCCGGTGATCAAGTGCAGCTCGCGTAGTGAGCATCTCGACCAACCGATCATATCCCCGCCCTGCCGCCGATCTGCAGATCATCCTCCCTGCGCGATAGCCCCCTGATCGCTTCCTCCTCCGCTCGCGGCCCCCCCCCCAGACCCGCTCGCCGAGGCCACGGCGTCGCGTACCACTTCTCGGGAGCCCTCTTCCCGCAAGACACGTCCGACCCTCAGTGCGCTCAGCTGTACCTCTACGATCCGGCCGACGCATTGCACTTCCGCACCGCCAACCGCAGGAATGACCGCATCGATGCAGCAGTCATGCGCGAGCTCCAAGACATGCTGGACGCATTGAACCCGTACGTGCCCGTCTACCGCGCCATGCGCGATGTGCTCGAGGCGAACGGCAGGCCAGAGGTACACATGGCGATCCAGAGCGACAAAGATCACGACGTGCGCAGGTACAACAAGCCCCGCACGTTCGAACCGTCTATCTTGTTCGCGGGAACCGACGGCAACTTGATCGGGCACCGCGACATTGCCGTTTGGCTTCGGGACGAAGCTCACGACGTGCACCGCCTCAACGACGCATGCGAGCACATAGACCCTTTGGCGTACCCTCTCTTGTTCCCCTACGGCGACCCCGGCTGGCATTCGGACTTACGACTCAACACTGCGCTGGGCCACGCCCCGCGGAAACTGACTTGCTCTGCCTTTTATGCGTGCCGTCTCATGTTGCGGGACTACGACCCTGGCGACGACGCGGAGGCACCGGGCCCATGGCCCGCGACGAACGTCGGCTTACCACATTCCGCCGGCCTCTTGTTCCAGATGTGGGTCTGCGACGCGTGGAGTCGGGCGGAATCCCAGAGACTGTGGTGGATCCGCAACCACCAGGCCGACTTGCGCGCGGAGACGTACCAGGGAATCGTCGACGCCCTCGCAGACGACACCTACCAAGCCGGGACCACCAAGGTCGGAACCCGAGTCATTCTACCAGCCACGTACTCTGGAAGCCCGCGCAACATGCTCCAGCACTACCTCGACGCCATGACGATCGTTAAACACCACGGGAAGCCAGACTACTTCATTACGATGACGGCGAACCCGGCATGGCCAGAGATTACTCGCGAGCTCCGACCAGGAGAGACGGCCAACGATCGCCCAGACATCATCTCCCGTGTCTTCAAGATGAAGCTCGATGTGCTCATGGACCTCCTCCTCTTTCGCCATGCTCTCGGCGTCGTTAAGGCGTACACGTGGGTGGTCGAATTCCAGAAGCGCGGGCTCCCCCACGTGCACGCTCTCATCATAGTGCGCAAGGAGGACCGACCTCTCACGCCGGACGAGCTGGACGAACGCATTGTAGCAGAGCTGCCAGACCCACAGAACCCCGCCCACGCCGAGCTCTTGCAGCTCATCCTCTCCAGCCAGATCCACGGTCCATGCGGGGCCCGGAACCCTTCGTGCCCCTGCATGGAGGACGGGCGCTGCACGAAGCGATATCCGCGGGACTTCCAGGAGGAGACGTGCATGAATGTCCAGGGCTACCCCCTATACCGCCGAAGGGCTCCCAGCGGGACGGCCGTCAAAAACGGCCACGTGATCGACGCCCGGGACGTCGTCCCTTACAGCCCCGTGCTCTCGCGTAAGCTGGGTTGCCACCTGAACATAGAGCACTGCGCATCTCTGAAGTCTGTGAAATATCTCTACAAGTATATTCACAAGGGACACGATCGCGCCGTCCTCAGCGTGCAGGCAGACGAAGTGCAGAAGTACATCGACACACGTTACGTCGGACCATCAGAATCCACCTGGCGACTGTTGACTTTCCCTCTACAGGGCAAGTCCCACACCGTACAGCACTTGGCGGTCCACCTGCCGGGCCTCCACCGGCTACACTTCCACGCTGGCGGCGAAGCGCAGGCGCTCGGCGGCGGCAAGCACACCACCTTGACAGCATGGTTTGAGCTCAACTCCGCCCCCCCAGATGGACGGGTGCCAGCTCCGCAGGACCTCCTCTACGTCGATGTGCCCAGGTACTTCACGTGGGACCGAGGCTCCACGAAATGGAAACGCCGATCTGGGAAGACACCGTCGGCCGACGTCCTCGGTCGTTTGCATACGTCCACGCCGGCCGAAGGCCAGCGGTGGTATCTGTACTTGCTGCTCCTGCACGTCCGCGGAGCTGCATCGTGGGGCGACTTCGCCCCACGCATTGAAGGCGTTCCAGAAGACGCCCGCGCCCATGACTTCAGGGCTGCTTGCCAGGCGCGCGGTCTCGCCGAAACGGACGATGAGTACACAACCGCCCTGGAGGAGGCCGCCCGCATCAAAGGAGCCCAAGGCCTCCGCAGCCTCTTCGCCGTCATCCTTTTGCACTGCAACGTCGGGGCCCCCCGAGATCTCTACGACAAGTTCGCCACCGATCTCGCTGACGACTACACGCGCGATCACGACGCTGCTACGGCCGCCAACCACGCCCTGGTCCACTTGCAGACTCTCCTGGCGCAGGCTTGGGAATCCCAAACATCTCTCCTCTCCCCCTGAAGGGTACCCGGGCGACAGCACGCTGCGAGCGATGCAAGTCCCGCTGCGCACCCAGAAGCCTTGCTCGGAAAGGCGCTCCTGCGAATCCCTGCCTCCACCTTCTCAACCGTCTCTTCTCTCTCTTTGTGGTCCACCCGACGCCCTCGCTCCGCGGAGGCCCACTTTGCCGGCCCCGGATTTCCCCGCCCGCCCTGCCAGGGCGGCAAGACGCTGGAACACTTCAACCTGCCCTCCCCTCCGGCGAGCCTCGCGCCTGAGAAAGTTCAGCGGGACCTTCTCCGAGAGCAGGCGTACGACCGCTGCGCTTGCGCCCAGAGAGCCTCCGAGGCGCGGCCCCAGATGAACGCCGGCCAGGCAGCCGTTTTCGACGCCGTCGCTGCCGCGCTCGCCGATGGCAACGGCACCTGCATATCCCAAAGCTCCGCTCGCCGCCGCCCCCCTCCCGTCCCCTGCGGGGATGTCTGTGCGCGCGCGCTTCTGACGGAGGACCTCTCCTTGTTCCCCTGGCTCACCCCACTGTGACCTGAATGAGCGCGTGCGACGAACGCCCTGCCATGCGCCGCCCCCCCCCCCCCCCGGGCTCCAGCCCCGCGTGCATGCCGCGTCCCAGTGCGTTGAACTGCCGTCTCGTGCTCGCTCGGGTCTCAGACTGGACTGGACAGCGGATTCTTGGACGGGCCTGGCGGCACAGGGGAGACATTCGTGTATCAGGCGGTCCTCGACCTCGCGCGCGGAAAGGGCGACGTGGCGTTGGCATGCGCATGGAGCGGCATTGCGGCGCTGCTGCTCGAGGGCGGTCGTGCGTGTCACAGCCGCTTCGGTCTGCCCGTGCCTCTGCCGACGGAGGACGTGCAGAGCAACATTGCCGCCGCGTCTGCTCGGGCTGAAGTGCTCCGGCGCGCGGCGGTGCTCGTGTGGGACGAGGCGCCGATGGCGCCCCGAGAGGCACTGCAGTGCGTGGACGACCTCCTGCGCGACTTGATGGACTCGGACGCCCCCTTCGGAGGCAAGATCCTGCTCATGGGCGGCGACTTCCGCCAGGTCCTCCCCGTCATGCCCAAAGCATCCCGCGACGAGATCATATCGCACTCCCTGCAGTACCACCTCTTGTGGACTTCGGGCTATGTCCAGGTCCACTCGCTGACCGTCAATATGCGGGCCCGACGGGACGCAGCGTGGCAAGAGTTCCTCCTGCGAGTGGGAAACGGGACAGAGCCCACATGTCCAGACATCGGCCCCCAGTCTCTGCGCTTACCCGACGACATTGCGATGGCGAGCGACACGCCGCCCACCGAGCTGTGCAAGGCCGTCTTCCCCGACCTCGTCGCCCGGAGTGCGAGCTGCGCGCGCCCTGATCCACGTGGCACCGCTTGGACCTACTTCTGTGATCGCGCCGTGCTCACCCCCACGAACGCCTCCGCAGACGAGCTCAACGACTCATTGCTAGAACTGTTCGACCAGAGCAGGGTCCGAAGTTACTTCAGCGTCGACTGCATCCATGCTTCCGACCCTGCAGAGACAGCTCTCTGGCCGACAGATTTCCTCAACTCGTTGCAACCAAACGGGATGCCCCCGCACGAACTACGCCTCGCTCCAGGTTGCCTCATCATGGTCCTGCGGAATCTGAACGCCGAGGACGGCCTCGTTAATGGAGTACGAGCCGTCGTAGTGGAAATGCAGGGGCGCGTCCTGGATGTGCTGTTGGTATCTGGCTCCCACGCCGGCCGCCGTGCATTTATTCCCCGCGTAAAGCTGTCCCCCAGCAACCCAGACCTGCCGTTCGTGCTGGCACGCTTGCAGTTCCCAGTGAAACTGGCCTGGTGCATGACAATCAACAAAGCACAAGGACAGACACTGAAGCAGGTGGGATTGTACTTGCCGTCCCCGGTGTTTTCCCACGGGCAGCTCTACGTGGCGTTCAGCAGAGTGGCAAGCTCATCTTGCATCAAAGTCTTGGTCCCCACGACGGCGCTCCACGGTGCCCGCGAAGAGTCCGACACTGTCCGAGCAGGGGTGTACACCGAAAACGTCGCGTGGTCGGGCGCGCTCTTGCAGCGCGCGGCATCGACCGCGAGCGCGGACAATGCCGCGATAACCACCCCGCGGACGTCGCGCAGCCCAGCCATCCACACTCCAGGAATGTTCACAACGGCATCGCGGACACCACTCCCAGGCGCCGGTGACACCATGGACGCAGGCTGGGCCGACACCCCCGCCGGGCACCTCCGCGCCCATACAGGTAATGAGCACGACACCGACGACATCGCAGAGCACGGCCCCGCGCCGCCTCAGGACGTCGATGGGAACGCCCGCATCCGGCAGCCGACAGCCCTGGCGTCCGACCCCAAATCGGCCGACAAGACTGGAGTCGCACGTGCGCCCACGACGGCCGCGATCCCGACGCCGAGCCCGCCGACCACGCGCACACAGCAACGACCGCGTGCCCCAGCTTCCTCGACGACCTCCCCGGCGACATCCGGCAGGACAACACGTGATGCCCCCATGTCCCCTCCGCGGCTGCCTGCACCCACAGACGGCGACCAGCCCGTGCGGCCGTCACAGAGCACGCCGCAATCGCACGCACCGCCTACACCGCGATGGCAAATGCACTTCGACACCGACCTGCCCCAGCCCACGCCGTTAGCCCCGTATTCGACAGCACCGCCCTGGTACAACTCGCCCGCGACGGGGGCCATTACAAGCACCAGGAAGCAGACGGGGAGCACATGCGGGCTCCACGCGTTCAACCATGCGGCTGTGTCCTGCACCATGCGCTCACGCAGCATGCCCTTTGCACCCGCTTCGAGACGATATTTTGAGCAGACGGCCTTGTCCGTACGCACCGGTGACCGCCGAGGGAACCTCATGGACCCCCTCGGGAGCAACTACGACTTCGCAGTGCTCCACTCCAACTTCGCCAACGTCGACCTGGCCTTGCTCCCGATCAGCCCAGCAGAAATCCAGGAACGCCTACAGGACCCGTTCACTGACTTCTCCAGCCCTGAGGCTGCATTTCAAATTGGAGCATACCTCTTCAGGACTCCCACTTCGGGTGGGCATTGGCTCGTGGTGCAGAGGCCAGGAACTATGCCGACACAGGCAGCAGAACAACCGGAGCCCACCTTGTGCGACTCGTTGTACAGCCGTCCTCATAGGATGTCTCTCTCGAACCTCGAGCGATTCTTGGCCATATGCGCTTGGCACATGGCCTGGCAGTCCGACAACGAGGTCCACTGTGAGTGGCGCTGCTTCCTCGTCGGCACACGCCAGATCTAAGCTGGCCCCGCATGTGCCTCGGACAAATGCCCGTAGGCATCCCTTCCCCGCCCGTTTCACCCCGCTTCTGCGATATTCCCTGCTGGCGTGCGTGTCTGGAGCTTTGCCCTCGGCTCGACAGTCAACATGCAGGCGACGCCTTATGCCAAAACAATGTCTTGTAAACCCGCCGATTGAGCAGGAGGAGGAGGAGAAGGAAGAGGAGGAGGCGGAGGAGGAGGAGAAAGTGCCATACTCGTGGGCTGCTTCGGGGCCTTTCTTGCACCCCCTGGGGCCCCGCCATGGACCCTCTGGAAAGTTCTTTGGGGCGACGACGACGACGACGGCGACGACGACGACGGCGGTCTTGGGGCTCTCTTGGTGCTATTGAGGGAGTATTGGCGCCCTCTTGCGCCAATCTGGAGCCTTCCCAACGGGGCCCCCACGGGTGCTACAACGGACTCCCTGGGCAGCACCCGTCGGGTGCCCTTTATGAGCTCTTCTGCGGCCCCTGTTGGCTTGTGTTTGAGCCGTCTTGGAGCTCTCTTGGGGCTCTCTTGGGGCTCTCTTGGGAGCTGTGGGGCGCCCTGGGGCCCTTTTGCGCGATTCCGGAGCCTTCCCAACGGGGCCTCCACGGGTGCTACAACGCACCCCCCATTTGTAGCACCCGTCGGGTGCCCTTTATAAGCTCTTATGCGGCCCATGCTGGTTTTTTTTGGCTGCTCTGGGAGCGCTTTGGGACGTTTTGGGGCCTTTGTGGGCCGTCACGGGGCGTCCGGGAGGCCTTGGACCGTCTTGGAGCTCTCTTGAGGCTGCCTGAGGCCGTCTTGGGAGTCTCTTGGGGCCCCCTCGGAGCTCTCTTGGGGCCGTCTTGGGGTTTTGTGAGGCCGTTTCAGGGCTCTCTGGCGTCGTCTTGGGGCTCTTGTGGGCCGTCCAGGGGCCCTCTCAGGGGCCCCTGGCGTCTTCTTGGGGCGAGTTGGGGAGCCTCTTGGCCTGTCCTGGGCCGCTGAGGAGCACACAAGGCGGGCCTGCTGAAAATATACGTTTCCCTGCCTCTTTGGCGTGCGTTCGGGGCCCTCTTGGGGCGTCTTTGCGGCCTCTTGGATGGTCGTGGAGCCCCGGAAGACTTCGGGCCCTCGTGGGCCGTCTCGGGACCCACTCAGGCCGTCTTGGGGCGCTCTTGGACGGTCTGGGAACCCCTCTGGAGCGCCTCTGGGACCGGCCTGAGCGATTCGGCCCCATGGTGGCGCCATACAGGGCCGATTTTGTGCACTTGAGGCCCTGGGCTTCTCGCACGCGCTTCCACCGGCCATGTTGAAGAGACTAGGACTGACCCGCGGCCTTCCAGCCGCGGAATTTGCCCGCCATGGCGTGGACGTGGAAGTGGAGCGTCTCTAGGGCCTCGCGGGTAAGGGGAGGTTGGAGGGGACGGCGTGGATGGAGGAGGTGGCGGAGGGGGAGGTGGGCGAGGGATGCAGGAAGCAGGCCTGAAGGCAGGAACGCGGTGGTGGAGGCGGTGCCAGTGGAAGCACACCCATGTAGGCATGAGATGGTGTGAACAGAAGCTGTTTCTAACGCCGCAGTCTGTGTTCATCATAGCTTCTGCGGGGAGGGTAGCCGTAAGAAGTTGATCTGCTCTTCGCAGGGGCCGAATGATAATTTTATTTGGTAGTGTGGTGACAGTGGGGCCAATGGGCGCGGCCTAGGAAGCCCGCAAGAGGACGGCGAGACGGAACTTCCTGAGACGGGCCCCAATGCGAGGACACGAATCGACCTTTCGAGCGCACCGCCCCAAGACGTCCCCAAATGGCGCAGAGATGGCTCCCAGAGGGTCCGCTACGTTGGGAGGGCCATTCTCTTGGAGGCAGTTCTCAAGCCTTTTTGGGTCTCTTGGGTGGTTGAGCGCTTCTCAGGTCCTCTTGTGGATCTCTTCGGGACCTTTTGGGACCCTCTTGGGCCGTCTGGGCTCCTCTTGAGCCGTCTCAGGGCCACGTTCAGAGCTCCGTACGTCATCTCGACCCTCATGTCTCGGGTTTCCTCCTCCGCCTTCTCCTCCTCCTCCTCCTGCTCCTCTGCCTCCGCCTCCTCCTCCTCCTCCTCCTCCTCCTCCTCCTCCTCTTCCTCCTCCTCCTCCTCCGCCGTCTTGCCTCGATCCTGCATGCCTTGGATATTGGATCGTCAATCGTAGACCCTCGGAGCTTCGAGAACGGCTGTTGGGGCCTGCGTTCTGCCTCTCACCTCTCGTCCGCCCCCGCTCTGTTGGAGGGAATTAGATAAACACGTAGGGCCTTTTGGAAGCCGCGTGGGAGCCTCTTGGAGTTTTTTTCGGCTTCGAGGGGGCCTCTTGGGGCCTTCTTGGACTCTCGTCGGCGCCGTTTGGGCCGTCTCGGAAGTGTCCTGGGCCGTCTTGGGCGCCTCTTGGGCCGCCTGGGGGCCGTCTTGGACCGTCCTGGGCGGCCCTTGGGGCTGTCTCGGGTGCCTTCTGGGCCGTCTTGGGGCCGTCGTGGGCCGCCTTGGGCGCCCACTGAGCCGTGCTCGGGCCGTCTGTGGGGCTTTCTGGGGCCGTCCTTGGGGCTGTCTCTGGGGCACCTCTCGGGCTGTCTTGGGCACCTCTTGGGCACCTCCTGGGCCGGCCGCGGAGCCCGGAGGGGTGCATCTTGGGACGATCGCGGGGGGCTCCGTGGCCATCGTGGGCGCGTCGGGGGCGAAAAGCACCGAGAGTGCCACACCTTTCAGTCTTCTTGAGGACATGGAGCGGTTTTTGCGTCTCGGGGCTGTCCTGGGGAATCCTCGAAGGCAGCCTTCGGAGGCTCCTGGCCAACCCTGGAGCCCTCGGGGCCGTCGGGTCAGCCTCATGAGCGGCTCGGAGCGCCCCTGGAGCCGTCGGGGTGGCCTCTGGAGCGGCTCGGAAACGTCTGGTCGTGGTGGCGCCCTCTTGAGCGGTTCGGAGCCGTCTGAGGCGCCGTGCGAGCCCGATTAGCTTCGCGCTCTCGCGCCCGCACCCACGGAGGAGGGCAACGTTCCCTGATTATGCGGCCACTGATGGCGGGCGCTTCCTTCTCCTCGGGAGCTGTTTGGGAGCCTCGCGGGTGTTCTTTTCGGCCTCCTGGGGGCCTTTAGGAGCCCCCTTGGACCGTCTTGCGGCTCCCTGGGGGGCTCCTGGGAACCCTCTTGGGCCATCTTGGGTCCCCCTTGGGTCGTATTGGGGCAGGCTTAGGCCGTCTTGGACGCTTCTGGGGCCAATTTGAGGCCGTTTTGGCCACCTTTGGCCGTTCTTGGGGCTGCCTTGGGTGACTCTTGAGCCGTTGTAGGCGCCTCAGGAGCAGTCCTGGGGCCGTCTTGGGCCGTCCTGGGGCCGTCTTGGGTCGACTTGGGGCCCGCATGGCGCACGCCTGAGACGTCCTGGGGCGATCTTGGGAGCGTGAATTGTCCTCGTCGACGCTTTGGAAACGAAAGGCGGAGGTTGCGAAAGCGTGCTTTTTTCCTCGGGATTGGGACGTTTCTTGGTTGTGCGGGTTTTCATGGAGCCCACTTGGAACGTATTGGAAGCCTCTGGGGCCGTCTGGGGGCTATCACGGCCGTCTGCGAGAGCTTTTGGACCATCTCGGAGGCCTTCTTGCACCGTCTTGGGCCACTCTTGGGGGGCCCCAGGGTCGTCTCGGAGCGCTCGTGGGCCTCCTGGAAGCGCGCTGGAGCCTGCTGGGGCTCGCATGAGCCCGCAGGGGCCGCCGGGGCGCCAGAACCCCGCGCCCCGACCCCGCCCCTCTAGCACGCACGTATGCGTGCAATGTAATAGAGATGACGTCGGGCTCCACATTCGTCTCCCGCATCTCGCCGAGCAGAGCCATGCACGGTCTCTCCGTAGCCATTTCGGCTCAGGGCACTTTGTCGCAACAAACGCGTCTATCACTGCGTAAACGCACCTCGACCTTGTGACTTGGAATGGACAGCACTTTCACGCACGCCTCATGTTTTTACTGCCGAGAGAGGCACCCCCGCAGCGACCTTCGGTTACTCAGCGACGCAATACAGAACCAGGAACATGTCGATATGATAGTCACTCGCTTTTCCCCAAGTGGAATGCCTTTCGTGTGCGAGCATTGCGTGACGTTGTTTCAGGAGAAAACAGTACTAGCTCAAACCTTTCATTGCAGTCCCATAGGACAACATCTGACAAGGACAAACGAGGCTTTGAATGTTCGCGATGCCAGCTACTTGGCTTCCTTTTACGAGGACATCGCGGGAGGTAGCAAACCCCAGAGTCCGACATCCGACGCGAGGTTGGACGTGGCGTGCGACTTTGGCCGGTGCTTACCTACCCAGCTGGTGCCGCCTGCTGGTCTCGTTGGCTGGCCCAGACGCCCCTCAGAGTGCTTTCGGGCGCTCGACCCAGGATGACCTCCAGGCTTGGGCTCACGCGCTGGCAAGCACGGCCGGGGTCGCCGAGCCTCGCGGAGTCTCGGCGCCGATCTGCCCGCAGCGCTTTCGGCTCCCCTGGAGGCCAGGGTGGGCCACCGCGCTCGACCCGCGCCCACGCAGCCGCTGACGTGGCGGTTGCACCAGCGCCGGCGCAGCCGCGGTCGCACTGGCAGCCGCGGGCAATGCCCGGCGTCGACGCCCGCCGGGCATCTGTCGAGGCAGGCGTCGACTCAGCCGTGCTGATGCCCAGGCGCGCAGGCCGAGGCCAACGTGACCCTGTCCCCCGTCCAGTGGCCGTGGCCGCCCGGCGCCGCCGAGCGCAGGCTGCCGCGCGTGGAGACGTCGCTGCCAGTCAGCGGCAAGCCAACCCGGGGGGAGTACCTCCGCCTGGCCTCGCTGCAGCCATCCACAGTCGACAGCTACACTTCCGCCGTGATCGGGCTGACCGACTACGCCAATCGCCGGAGCCTGCTGCTGACCACGCCGGAGCTCACAAACGAGACGCTCGACTTGTGCTTCGAAGACTCGTTCTTTGGAGGTGGGCCCAGTACTTGACTCGAGAACGCTGCATGGGCTCTGCAAAGTTCAAAGATGGTCTGCTGGACGACCTCGGTTCCATAAAGCCAAAGATGCTCTGACTGGCTGGGCGGCAAAGCTCCCGACTACGCCGCGAGAGCCGCCACAGTGTGAGGCCGTCCAACTGACCTGCGACGACAAGCCAGCCAAAAACGAGATTTCGTCTGCACAATGAAGGCCGGCACTGACTTGCCTGTTCGCCGATTCTTTCTCGAAATTCTTCATAGGCTGAGCCCGTGCCAGACGCCCGAAGCTGCCAACTCTGTTCAATCTTTCTCCCTTTCTCAGTTTGAAAAGACTTTGAAGCAGGCCGCCCACTCAGCAGGAGTTGGTGATCTCCTGTCAGTCCCTCACTAGTTGCGCCACGAAGGGCCCTCGCACGACGCTCTGAACCGTATTCGATCGAACAGGGCCATCCGGCAGCGCCAGTGCTGGCGCGCCTGAGTGAGTGTTCGTATTGATGAAAAGCACGAATACGCCCTTCGTCAGATGTCGAAGCTCACCGAACCGCAGAATCGTCTGCTGCCCGTTTTACTGACTCAACGGTTCGTGACATCCTCAGGCGCGCATGTGCCGCCTAGTCTTGTCTCTTCGCCCCAGCCTCGGACCAAAGCAGAGATAATGATTTAACCCGCCCGCCCTCCCAAGGGCATTTGACGATGGGGATGGGGCGCAAATGTAATGGCTGTGTGTGTGTGTGTGGCAATTTTTGGTGATTCCACTTAGCCGCCGAAGTGGCCCCACTTCCCCGGCTCGATTCTTTAGAGTACCACCGTGTGTCCCACGGCGCTTGCCTGATGAAAAGAGATTGATGATCCCTCGTCTCTCGGTTTAATCTGTTCGCTGTCGCTGTTTCCGCAGACCCCATGGGGTGGCCACGCCCTTATGATAGGAATGATTTGTCTCTGACTCGTTTTCCTAAGTGCGAGTGGCCTCGGGAGTTTCAGAGCAGTGGAGCCGCGTCCGTCTCGTTCGCTGCTCCTGCTGTTGCTCTCTCCCTCTGCTCCGAAACCGCTCCTGCTCAAGCTCCCACCCACCGACCCCCACACACCGCAAATGTAATGGCTGTGTGTGGCAATTTTTGGTGATTGCACTTAGCCGCCGAAGTGGTCCCACTTCCCCGGCTCGATTCTTTAGAGTACCACCGTGTGTCCCACGGCGCTTGCCTGATGAAAAGAGATTGATGATCCCTCGTCTCTCGGTTTAATCTGTTCGCTGTCGCTGTTTCCGCAGACCCCATGGGGTGGCCACGCCCTTATGATAGGAACCAATGTCGAGGCCCGAAGACGCCCGCAAAACGCTCCTGAAATGCCTCTCCCGCACACGTGGATCAGGTGAAAATGACGCTGATCGTCGGTGGTCCGTCGTCGTCGTCGTCGTCGTCGGTCGTCGCTGGTACGCTACAGGCCAAATCCTTCCTTGAACTTCGCAGTATCCGCCCGAAAATCACGCATGGGTGAACGGGAGGAACCCGGAGGACCACATGGAAAAGGTCCCATGGAAATTGACACCGTCTTAGGAGTCGACTAGAACCTAAGCGCACGCGAAGCGCGCTCGTGGTTCTAGTATTCAAGTAGGTTCACACCAAAATCATACGTATGCTAGGATGTATGCTAGACACAGCGGGCTCAAAACAGTGTTTTTTGGCAATATATGCGGCGCAATGTGGGTGGTGCAATCAATGTGGTGCAATCCGTCTTGTGCAACCCATGTGGTGCACTTTGTGGTGCAAAAGCAATTCAAAGCTATTCATGTCAATGCAATGCAAAACCATGCAAAACAATGCAAAGCAAGGCTGACCAAGCCAACGCAAGGCAGACACTGCAAAACAATGCAAGGCAACGCACAGAAATGCAACGCAACGCAAAGAAATTCAAAGCAACGCGATGCAAAACAACGAAAAGAAACGTGAACCAATGCGAAACCATACAACGCAATGCAATACAACGCAACGCAACGCAACAATGCAAGCCCAGACAAAGCAGCGCAAAGTAATGCAAAGCAGTGTACATCAATGCCAAACAATGCATATGCTACGCATTGCAACGCAAAGCGCTGCAAAGCAAGGCAAAACAGTGCAAACCAATTCAATACATTGAAATGCTGTGCGAAACAATGCAAACATCTGCAAAACAATGTAACGCCAGGCAAAGCCAGGCAAGGCAATGCAACAAGGAATTCAAAGCAACTCAATGCAAAACAATGCAAAGCACTGCGACGAGGAGGCGACGATGGGGCAACGGCGACCACAAGGCGCGCGGACCTGACAACGGAGCCCAGACGACGGGCGGCGACGAGGCGGCGAGGGGCGGCGACGGCGACTATCAGGCGGTGGACCCGACAACGGAGCCCAGACGACGGGCGGCGACGAGGCGGCGACGGGGCGGCGACGGCGACCACAAGGCGGCGGGCCCGACAACGGAGCCCAGACGACGGCCGGCGACGAGGCGGCCACAGCAACCACAGTGCGGCGTTCCCGACAACACAGCTTTGTTTGGGAAAATTGATGTGCCATGTGTATATTTGTGTATATTTATGCATCTTAGTGCCATATATGTGTGTATATATATATATATATGTGTGTGTGTGTGTGTGCGCGTGTGGCGCAGGCCCATCGCAGCGCGGCGCCTTGTGCCCTTTTCATGTCGTCTTGACAACGGAGCGGGATGATTTGCATTTACGATGTGCAGATGTCTGTTCACACCCATGTCCACCACCTGTTGGGGTCTTGGGAAATCGGGGAACCGACTCCCCCGGCCGTTGCAAGTGTGCAAAAACCCCGGCCTCGCACCCACTGCGCCCTACCGCCCGACAACGCCCCGCCAGCGCTTTGGCCCATAGCCGGCGGGCAGTGGAAAGACGGGGCATCTGTTTCCAGTCGGCCACGCGCACAGGGGGCCACGGGGAGGGGAGAAGGCTTCTCAGAAGCACCCCTGCTTCTCAGCAGGCGCGGGCCTTGTCTGCAGATTCTGGGCCGGCGCCTTCTAAGGAGCAGCCTCCTTCTAAGACACCTTCCACCGCACCCCATACCCACTTGTGCGCGCCGCAATGTCTTCCAGCCTGTAACACATCTCTGTTCCTAGTTCCTATGACTGGCAGCACCTCATGTCGATGCCGATCTTGAGGATTCCCGCGGTTTCTGGGCCTCCTTCTGCTCCTCCTCCGTCTTCCTCCTCCCCGTCCTCTTCTCTTGTCTGTGAATCTTGCCCCCCTCCATCCAAAGCTCCACCCTCGTCCTCCATTGGCCTTTGTCCCAGCGTCGCTCGGCCAATGAGAGTTTGCACACCAAGCAGGGCGCATGTCTGCATTGATTCATGATGTGGTGGTACGACGAGTAGAGAATCCGCATCGGTGGGCGAAGGCGAGATGACGTGCTTACTGCGGAAGGGGAACCCCTCCTTGACAGAGCAGGACGCGCGGTGCATCACCGCGAGCCTGTCTCTGCCTCGGCCCGATTCCCTCCCTGTCGCCCTCTCCCCTCGTCCGCTCCCGCTGGCCACGTCTTGTCGCGAACAGTCATCTCCAACCCTCCTCCACCCCCGCCTCCACTCGTGTACTCCCCGCTGCTGCCCCCTATCACGAATCTGCCTTGAGCGGCTGCATTTCTTCAGGCGTTGCTAGGCTTCTATGGCATGTCTCGCGTTGGTGCTGTGCCGTGGTGCTGTCCTCGTGGGCAGCGCCGGGGGGGGGGCAGGCTCATAGGGGCCCTGAGCCAGGCCCCTCTATTATTAGGTCGGGCGTGTCCCCCTGCAGGCGGATTTGGGAGGAAAAATAAAGAATATTGAACACATTTTTTTGTATAAGAAAACGTCCCCATATTATTGGTTGATTCTGAACAGGCCCAACTTAACCCCATGATTTCCATCGCACCGCTGCGTCATACCCCTGCAGCAAGAAGCTGGCGCGAACCGCAGGCCGGCCGCACCACCTGCTGATGAGGCCCTCCCCCCCTCTCGCTGCCGCTGCATCTGCCTCGAGAAACGAGCCCCAGTGGACCCCCTGGAGGGCTCGGAGGACTGCTTTAGGCACGGATGTGGGGCGACGTGTGGTGGTGCTGCCCCTACTTCCTTCCCCCGACAAGCCGGCGGCGAGCGAGGGGGGGAAGCGAGAAGGAGAAGGCCTCCCCAGAGGGCTCCGAGGTCGCGCGGCCTTCTGAGAAGTTGCCTGAGCTCCTCCCGGAGGCACGACAACTCTTCGGAAGGCTGGAGGGCGTCCGAGAAGTCCCGCCGCCTTCCGAGATGGCCTCCTCCTTCTCACTCCCCCCCCCCTCGCTCGCCGCCACAAAAGGACCAGCCCCCTCGCCGCGGCTGGACGTGGGGCGAGGCGACGTGTCGTGGTGCGAACCCGCCGCCAGGGAGGACCGGCGCACGCCTCGAGCCGACCGCTCGGGAGCCTGGAGTCGGGGGTGGGTGCAAGCGGGGGTCAGCCACAGCGCCCGGTCCTGCAGGATCCTGCAGGGCCAGGGTCGCACTGACCCGGGCCTGGGCGCAGGGTCCTGCAGGATCCTGCAGGGCCAGGGTCGCACTGACCCCGGCTTGGGTGCAGGATCCTGCAGCATCTCGCAGGAGTCTGCAGGGCCTGACTGACCTTGGCCGTACCCCCCCCCCCCTGCCAAGGGGGGGGGGGGGCGCCCGCCTCTTCGGCCCCGTGCTGCGGAGGCGTCCCCACGGCGTGCCCGACGCCCCGCGCCTCGGCTCGGCGGCGGCCCTTCCGATCCCCCATCCCCGCTGGGCCGTGGTGTCTCGGCCCCGCGGGCCTCCTCCCCCCAGAATTGGGGATACCATAGTCCCGGCGAAACCCGCAGGGGGTCAGCACAGCTATGCCCATCCAGGATCTCTAGGGGGGTAAAGATTGTCAGAGGGGGGCAAGGCCATGCCAGCGGGGAGGGGGATGGGTTTCGTAATGCTCATCGGCTTTCGGGTGAGGGGGGCGAGAAAGGCGCGCCCCGCGTCACGCGCTAGGGACGGCGCCGGGGGCGCCCCAAGGGGGGTCCAGCGCCGATGCAAGAGATACAGTTGTTACGTTTAGACGTTGAGAGGTTGCGTGTATGCTTTCTTCTACGGTTGCCGCTGATCCCGCGAACAAGTAGGCGCGATCGACAGTTTCTGGAGGGGCAGGTCGACTCGCGTAGCAGGCCGTCTGAGTCAAACTGTGCGAGCAAGCTGTATCCAGTTGGGCGTATTAACGCGTCTGGTTCACATGCATCTGTGCTGTGCAAGCGGTGTACGAGTCCCCCCAGCATCATTTAGACATTTATATCAACACCGTCTTTTTTATATTTCAGGCTAGCTCGACATGTCCGTCGAGCATCACATCCATCACAGGTGTTATTAGGTATATACTTCAAACGCTGAGTTCAGACAGTCTCACGCCACCACGCCTCGATCATTGTAATTACCCCCGCCCGACTCGTCCCCATTTTCACCTCTTCCACATCCTCCCTCTCATCCTTACCCCCCGTCCCCCCCGTCTCTAGTTCTCCCCATCCACGCGAACTCAGCGTTTGTGCCGCATGTGTTTGTTTCAAGTGTTGCCCAGACGTCACGCCGCCTCCCGGTTGGATGGCAAGACGTCGAATTGGAAACCACTGCCTCAGATCGGCGCGCGTGGTTGACAACGAGCACCCTTCCGGATTACCTTGGCAGGCTAAGCGGAAGGAGAGAAGCGGTGCGCAGAGAATATGGAACAGTAGGTCAGCCCTCGCGGGCATAGAGTAGAATCAGGAGGGGAAAAAACACACAGACACAATTATTCGTCGATGTTTAGGAAAATATGGGAAAATATGGGAATTGGGCGGGAAGACAAAAACCCAGAAAATATGGGAAAATATGGGGGATATTTTTATTTGTGTGTATTTATTTGTGTGTCCCAGCTCCCCTTCATAGAAGACCTGCGGGCGACAGTGAGGATCTCTCAGGTGGCGCCTTCACGTCCCCTTCCCCAAACCCAACGTGGCAGAGCAGAGGGGGACCAGGAGGGGGGAGACGCAGCGGCAGGTGGGGAGGAAGACGACGGGTCCTCATCAGCCTGCCTGTGTTCCCTGCACCTCCCCCCCCGCGGTTACCCCCCCTTCCTCCCCCCGCATCCGCCTCTCTTCATTCCACCAGTTTGCTCGCTGTTGCTCGCGTGTCGCTGAACACGTATGCCACAAACCGTCGACTCTCGGCCTCATGGGTTACGCACGTACCGCGTACGCCCTTTGGGGGGCTTCCGTTTTTCGTGCCAGCTCCTGTGCAAACCCCGACAGGGTAACACAACAGGGTCGGGCGGGCAGACCTTGATGGTGGGTCCAGCGGACGTGCCCCAACGGACGGGTCAGGCGGGTCCCTGACGGGCGGATCGGGCGGGCGGTCCCGAACGGGCAGGTTGGGCGGGTGGGACATTCGAGCGCGACTCCAGGATGATTATCGTTGGAGACGTATCGGCCGAGAGCGCGATTCCGAAGCAATGTGTGAGGATGTTCAGGGCGAGAATGCGTTCCATGAGTGGCGAGAGCGCGATGTTTGGTTGGATTGCGGGGAAGCCCCAAGCGAGAGCGCGATAACGAAGCCGCAAAAGAGAGGGTCCAATTCACAGTACGAGGAAGTTCAGGGCGAGAGAGCGCGTTTTCTTGTGCCAGTTGAGAGGAAGTCTCGAGCGGCAGCACGATTCCTAGGTACTTTGAGGACGTGTCAGGCGGGAGCCGTTTCGGGTGGGCCTTGGGCGCAGTGTGAGTTTGAAGTTGTTCCCTGGCCAACCAGAAACTGGCTGCGAGTATCGAGGGGGAGGCACTTCAATGGAGAAGCAATTTCGGCCGCTGGGGGGCATCCGCAATAGTCCCTCAGGAATGAAAGGTCTCTCCTCGAGCATCCTACGACCACCCCTCTCCCGCGTAGCCCTCCTTCCATACCCCGCCCTCCGCCTGCCCTCATTCCGATCCCTCCCCGCCCTCCCTTCCGCCCTCCTCTCCCGCGCCTCCTCCTCCCTCACCCCCCCCACTTGGCCCCCATTGTTCATCCCCTTTTCCCCCTGTCCTTCCGCTCTACCTCTCGTTCCCCCCGTCATCCTTCCATTCTTTCTCTCTCTGTCTCTCCGCGGCAGGCGCCGCTGAAGGCTGGCCAAGGTAGAGGGGGCCAGAGCTCGGTCCCGGCGTACGCCTGTCACCCCTTAGTGCACGTGGCCACGCAGAGAGCGGGCTCGGCTGCGCGGACACCGCCTGAGCTGCCCGCGTGAGGTCGCGCGTAAGCGCCCTCGTTTCCAGTGCAGCGTACCGCATCGGCGGCGCGCGTACGCCACCGCGTAAGGTCGCTGTGCCATCTCGCGTAAGACCCGCTTCGTATCGTCGATTACGTGTTCCCGTCGTGATGGCAGTGATGCCAGAGCGTGTTTGCCCACCCCGTGTTTGGCGTTATGGTTAAGTTGTGTTTGCTCCCTGGTCGGGGATAGCCAGGGCACCGGTTCAGGGGAGCCAGTTAGTGATTGGGCCCCGAGGTCCAAAATATGGACTGGAATCACCAAGCCAGGTCTGCCGCAGCTGGCGCTTTTCGGGCGACGGCAGTTCTGGTCAGTGGAATGGGGCAGGGGGGCGTTCCCCAGTGCACATCACCAGGCCAGGTCCCACTCTAAACCCAGCCCTGCCAGCGACCGACCTGGGCCTGCGGCAGACCCCCTCCTCTCCCGGGACCCCCGAGGAGCTGTGGGCCCTGTTCACCGGGGCCGACAGGACCCGCGGCACCGGCCCCGGGTCCACGGGCGCAGGGCGGGCGGGGGTTGGGCGGGGAAGAAGGAGAGGCGAGAGGGGGCCAGGAGCGACAGGAGGAGGAGGAGGAGGAGGAGGAGGAGGACTGACGTTACGAGCTCTGACGTGCTCGACAGCTTGCCTGAGAAAGGAGGAGGAGGAGGAGGAGTACAAGGAGGATGGGGAGGAGACGAGTAAGGGATACGATGAAGAGAAGACGGAGGAAAAGAGGAGCAGGCGAAGGAGGAGGACGAGGACAGTGAGGAAGACGAGGACGAGGCATGATTCTCGACATCAGCGCCCCAAGATCCCCCTTCGGAGGCGAGGATAGGCCCGCCCGCCCGCCGCACCGACCGTCGCTCCAACGAGCCGCAGGTACTGGGAGACGACTTGGATTACAGTGGAAACCCATGCCAAAAACCACCCTGCTTGCCTCCGTGACGCTCCCGCACCAGACATGAGTGGACGTCCTGGGGTCTCAGGGTTGAGTTTTCGCGTGGAAGGTTCCTTGTGGTCGAGCTCCTACACGCGGCGAAGGCCAGGGGCACGCAGGCGCCAGCGGGTTTCTGGCCCACCACGCCGACGGCGCGCATCGCGGCGGCTTCGACGCCGACGCCGCGACTTCCGCGGCCTGCATGCGCAGCACGGCCGCCACGCGCAGCCAGGTCGCAGCACGCCAAGGCCGAGAGGTTCCCGATGTGGTGGCCCAGGCGGGGGGAGGAACTTGACATCGCTCGGACGTGTGCATTTTTTCTCGGCGAGAAACATCAAGTAACATCCTGGACCATCGAGCAAGCAGAAAAACACGCACGAAACCGACAAATGCACGGGAAATGCACGTCCGAGCGATGGCAAGGGAAGAGGAGGAGAGAAAAGGGGGGGAACAGGGGGACGGAGGAGCGGAGGAGGAGGAGGAAAAGCAAAGGGGGAGCGGTGTTTCAATCATTGAGGCCGAGACAGCGGGAATCCAACAGGGGCAAGCGGGACATGGACGTGGCGGAAGAGGACTCTGTCAGAGTGGCGTTCCATAGTGCTAAATTGTCCCACAGGCTCTGCGAGAGACTCTGGCAGCGTTGATGTCGCGCAGCACGAAATTTCGTCGACAACCCATTGCAACATTGACTCGCGTTCGGAAAGGCCGGTGGCCAATACAATTGACGAGAACCCATTCGAATGTTGCAAGTTGCGCGGCGAGCAACATTTCGATGCTCGCTGAGGGCGGGCGCGAACTTGCTTGCTAATGACTGTCGTTGGTCATCGGTCATAGGTGTGCTTTGCATTCGACAAGCAAGAACGCAACGTTGGGCAAAAAGGAAATTTTGCAGACGGCCGAGAAGCACATCAGCCAGCGACGCCCTTCCTTCGCACACTGAGAGGTCTATCCTGTGGAGTTGGCCCGAGCATCGCGACTGTGCACACCCAGCAGCAGCCCATGCCCATGACCACCTCGGAGACGGTCCTGCCACCTTCTGACACGAGGACATGTTTCGCAGGTTTGCCGTGCTCGCGCGTCGGTGATGCACGCGCACAACCCACGAATTCCTGAGCTGCATGCCCCGGGAGGAACAGCGCATGTGCATTTGGACGCCGATAGATTTCATTTCACATGGCAGTTCGCCTCTTTCGCGCGGCATTGCTGTTCCCGGCGCTGTTCATGAGGCGCTTCATGCGCCATGCCGCTGTCGCGTCAGATTAGGTTTGCGACGCAGGCCGTGTACTTGGCCACGCAATCTTTTTCTACAATTTCCACTGCAGTTCGAGGTGGCGCGGTTGGCCATTCTGCGCATGATGGCATGCGGGGGGGAAGCAAAAACACAAAAAAACACAAACAACACACTGTGGGGAACAAACACAACAGAACACAGACGGGGAAAAAACACACACTGTGTGTATGTTGTCCCCACTGTGTGTGTTTTGTTTTTGTGTGTGTGTGTTTCCCCACTGTGTGTGTGTGTGGGTGTGTGTGTGTGTGTGTGTGTGTGTGTGTGTGTGTGTGTGTGGGGGGTGTGGGTTTTTCCACACTCTTCGGCGACCTCGAGGTGGCGCTCGAAAGTCAGTCTATGGTCGCAGCCCCCGCGCCTCGCACCTGGGCCGGGCACGGGCCGCCCGCGTCGGCGGTGGACGGTTCCGCCCTCCGAGCGAGTCCGGACCTCTCTCCGCTTCTCCCCAGCAGGGCTGCCTGCCTCGGCCCTTGGGCCTCCTCCTCCTCCTCCTCCTCCTCCTCCTCCTCCTACTCCTCCTCCTCCTTCTGCTCCTCCTACTCCTCCTCCTCCTCCTCCTCCTCCTCCCTCCTCCTCCTCCTCCTCCTCCTCCTCCTGGACTGCCCCCCCCTACAGGGGGGCTTTCGACGAAAAGTAAAAGATACCCGAGACGTCATCCAAAAACAGCCCCACAGATAGTCCGGGGACTGTTTTTCTAGTATGTGTTGACCTTTTGGGGGTATTGTTGTTGTTTTTGTTGTTTCATTTTTTCCGTCGGAAATCCCCCTGTAGGGGGACAGGCCCGACATAACCCTTGGGCTAATTCGCGTGGACAGCGTAAGTTTGTTTGTGTGGACTTGTTGGTGTGTTGGAGCCCACGCTCTCCTGCTCGTCGATGCATCGTGATCCGTCGCCCTCGCTGGCTTTCCATTCCCGGCTCCTCCCTAATGCCTTGTCCAGTTGCTCCTCCTTCCGCTTCCAACTTCGGATGTACTTCAACATTTCTATAGGCGGCGCGACTTCATTAGCGGCGCCAGTTGATATGCGAGCAGTCGCGTCGGGAGTCACGTTTCACTGGGCCGAGCAAAACGGGTGAGTTTGGGGGGGAGGGGAAAGAGAGAAAGAGAGAGAACGCGAGAGAGAGAGAGAGAGACACAGAAATGAGGGATGGGGTAGGAGTAGAGAAAAGGAGGAATTATCGACAGAGCGGCAGAAGTAGGATGAATGAGAGGATGGATGGGGGAGACGGTGTGGGAGGAGCGGGGGGGTCCTCTAGTACCTCCACCTTAGGAGGGATGGCGGGAGGAGGTGAAATTGGAGGAGCAGCGCGTCGGCACAGGGAGCGATGGAGACATTGGCTTCGCGACCATTGATCCTTCGCTTCCTCCGCGACCCCTGCATCATCATTTTCTGACGCACGCTCCAGGACGAGAGATGGAGATATCGATTTCGACGAGTTCGTGGAGTGCCGCGGAAGGGGCACAGAGCTGTTGTGGAGGAGGGAGGGCATAACTTGTCTTCCGGCTGAGAACAATAGAGCAGTAACGTACCCCCTCGTCGCGTCTTTCTGCGAATTGGGGCCCTTGACATTCAAAGAAGAGCAACATGTGTAATGATGCCAGGGTTTGGGCCCAAACCATGAGGCTCCAGTAGTTATCCCCGATGCGGTAGCTTTGTGGTGCAACTCGTGCAGTCTCGCAGTCTATCAGGTGCACCAGCCAGGGGCGCCAACTCCGTGGCACCACCCATCGGAACCCGGCCACAGGCCACTACAGTAGACACCCAAGCCAAGAAACACCCTGCTTGCCTCCAGGGTGCCCTGGGTGCCTTGGGTTTCGATGGCTTTGCTGTGGAAAGCGTGACGCTCCCGCACCAAAAATCAGCGGACCTGCTGGGGACAGTGAGCGCAGGGCGCCAGCCACAAGGCGCTGAGCGGGCACGGACACGGAGGGAGCAGCAAGGAGCCGCGGACAGCGGCACACGGGGCCAGCCCGTTCCAGAGAGCGAGGAGGGGCTCTCGGTGGCAGGATGCCAAGTCCGTGCGGAGGAAGTCCGCACGGAGTGCTCGGTCTCCGTCTGGGCTTGCTCCGAGTCTGGAGTTCGCCTCTCCCGGTGCAGGTGCCCCCCCGAGGTCCAGGCGCGGGAAAGCTGGCCATGCTTCGGGCCCCGAGGGGCCCTCACGTGCCGAGGCGGCTCGACAGGTGCCGCCAAAGAAGGGGCAGCGATTCCGTTGGCATTTTTTTGTTTTCGCTGCTAACATGTTTCGAAGCGTTGGATCTCAGGGGCCGTTTCCGGGGAAGGACGCGTGGCCTCCCAAATTCAGGAGGGGATAAAACACACAGACACAATTAATCCTCGATTCCCCAGAAAATATGGGAAAATATGGGAAGTGGGGGGGAAGACAGAAACCCAGAAAATATGGGAAAATATAGGGAATATTTTTATTTGTGTGTATTTATTTGTGTGTCCTGGGCCCCCTTCACAGATGGAGTCCAGGCAGATGGGGTCGGAGCATGGCGCCGCATCGCCGACGCACCGACGATACGGATCGGTGTGGATCCCGATGATTGTTCCCGCCGACGGGCGTTGGGGCCATTTTGGACCGTATGCATCAACAGTTGTCGGGGCATTTTATTAGTGAATTGAATTGGTTTCAGGGTTTTAACACATGGTCGCAGCCACGCAGAGGGCGTGCGTAGCGACGCCCCAAATGCTCGGTCTCCAGTACTTCTACGTGGCGGCGCCCCCGCAGGCACGCAGAGGGCACGCGTGGCGACGGGGGCGTCGCCACGCAGAGCTTCTAAAGACCAGATATTTTGAAAACCAATTGTTCCCACTACCAAAGTAGTCTTGAGCCGGTGGAAGCCCGAAAAGGCGAGATCGCGAAAATATCCATTCTAGGAGCATCGCTGATGTTGGCCCCTGCGAGCCCTACTGGGAGCCTCGTGTGACGTCATGGGGCAATCTTGGGGCCGTCTTGGGTCGTCTTGGTGGCATCTTGAGCCATCGTGGCAGTCTTGGTGGCCTGCCTAGGTCGTTTTGGAAGCTCGAGAGCGCGAACCTATAGTTGTTGCCCGAGAAATCGTGGCCTCGGAAGCGCGGTTCTGTTCCCTAGACAGTTTGTCAGCAGCGACATTGGATTGTTCCCAAGCAGTGCTTGCACCGGAGGGTCCTTGCTTGCCTTCTCTGAAACTGGGCCCGTTTGCCTCTCCAACTGTCCCGTTCCCGTACGCCGCTACATCATTTGTCCCAGCAAAATTCAGGGGGAAAAGAAACACACAGACACAATTAATCGTCGATCCCCAGGGAAATATGCGAAAATATGGGAAGTGGGGGGGAAGACAAAAACCCAGAAAATATGTGAAAATATGGGGGATAGTTTTATTTGTGTGTATTTATTTGTGTGTCCTAATTTCCCTTTAAAATGCTCGTCGGCCGCCCCTGCGGCCCCGTTCCTGCCCGTCTCCGCCGCCCCGTTGCACTCCGCCAACCCTCTGCCTTGCAATCGCATGGCATTGCCTTGGAAGTGCTTTGCCATCGCGTGGAATTACGTCGAATTGCTTTGCATGGTCTTGCATTGTTTATCCTTGAATTGCGGTGCGTTGCATGGCTTTGCGTTGCTCTGCAGAGTGCCGAATTGCTTTGCATTGCGTTGAATTGCTGTGCAGCTCGTTGCAATAGATTGGTTTGTATTGATTTGCTTTGCAGTGTGTTGCATTGCATTGCTTTGCATTGCATTGCTTTGCATACATTGCACCGCATGGGTCGCACCACCAACATAACACCACGTTGATTGTACCACCGGGGCATCCTTCTGCATGCATCCCCAGCCCTATATCTTATCCATATCTCGATCCCCCCGTCGTGGACCCCCACTATGACCCCCCATCGTGACTCCCATCGTAGCTGTGTAAAGCTGATGAGGGTCTGCTGCAAGAGAGTAGTGTTTTACGCAGGATTGTGGCCTCGGGGGTTTGGGGAGGGCGACGCATGCACGCTACATCTTCCGTGTATGGCTTGATTTGGCCGCACGTTTGGTTCGCATTCGAAGCACACTGCGCGCCTCTACGCCGCGCTACCATGTCCTCCTCCTTCTCCTCCTTCCCCACCCGCGGTGCGGCTGAGCAGATCGCCACTCGAAGGCCACCGCGTCTCATTTTTTTTGGGGGGGGGGCATTGAGTTTCTAGTGGCACGTGCCTCGCTCGGGGTTTCTCACAGCATCTGTTGCGAGAGGGCTGGCATCGCTTTGCTCCTGCTCCCTCCCTTTCCTTTCCTCCCTTCGCTTCTGCTCGTTGCTTCCCTCCCTTTCCTTTCCTCCTGCTCCCTGCCTGCTGTCTCCGCCTGGCCCGTCTTCTGCCTGCCCGCCCGCCCCGCCGGCCCTGGCCTCCCGCCTGGGCGTTCGTCGTCGTCTGCCTGCTTCTCCCCTCCTCGTCCCCTTCCGCCGGGCAGCACAGCCTGCCCGGAACCAGCCAACAGTAGTTGGCGTTGCGCGCCACCCTTAATTCGAAGGCCACCGAGGCCCGGCCGCTCTGCCTTGTGCATGCTCTGAGCAGGTCATGTGGCTCTCCTGCAGGTGCTGCGGCACTCCCTGGATCCGAGGGCGCCCTGCCTTGTCTTGCCTTCCCCTCCCCTTTGGGAGGAGGAGGAGGAGGAGGAGGAGGAGGAGGAGGAGGAGGAGGAGGAGGAGGAGGAGGAGGAGGAGCGGAAGGAAGAGGAGGAGGAGGAGGAGGAGGAGGAGGAGGAGGAGGAGGAGGAGGAGGAGGAAGGTCCGAAGCCTTCCGGCCTGCCCTCTGCGCCGCCCGGCGGCCTGCGGGAGGTACATCTTCTCGTCGTCGAGCAGCCTCTGAGGCGGCCCCTCCCCGCGGCAGCGCCGTGCCGGCTCTGCGCCCGCCTCGCAGCATCCCTCCACTCGCAGGCGATTTCTCTCCCCCAATCCCCGACTTCCGCCAGAAAAGTTTGGTCGCTCAGAAAAGGGGAGGAATCTTGGGATACATCCCGAGGGGGCTATTCGGACGCACCCCTGTCGAGGATGGACGCCCCCCCCTCGTATATCCCAGGGTTGGGCCCCAAATTGTTGATCCTCTCGAAAACCTCACGGAGCCTGGGATAGGGGTCGACGCATCCCTTGTTATCCACTCCCGCGGGCGCCCCTCGCCCGTCGCTCCTCGCGGCATCTCCGCGCCCCTCCGGCCACCGGGCCCTTGGTCGACGCCATGGTTGTCGTCGTCGTCCTCTGCTTCCGTCTGCCTCAGCGGATCGAGGAGGAGGAGGAGGAGGAGGAGGAGGAGGGGGATGGGATCTGAAGCATGGAGGGTGGAGGGGGACGGAGGGGGACGGAGGAGGAGGAGGAGGAGGAGGAGGAGGAGGAGGAGGAGGACGGGGCACGGACGGAGGAAAAGGAGGAATGAGAGGATTCATCATCATCAGCAGCAGCATCATTGTCATTATCGTCATCAGTTTAATTGTCGTCACCCATCACCAGCATCAGCACAATCATATTCGTACTCAGCATCACCATCGTTGTCGTCATCATCACCACCATCATCCTCATCAACATCCTCATCATAATCCTCATCATCAGCATCAGCATCAGCATCATCGTCGTCGTCGTCCTCCTCATCATCATTGTCGTCGTCGTCGTCATCGTCGTTATCAGTCATCAGCATGTCGCGTCCGTTATCGCAGCGTGGACTCGCTGCAATGTTTGTTTGGCCTCTTCAATCTTTCCAGTTTGCTCGGGGCCAATCCACTGATTGCAGGAGGGGACGCTTGTTTCGGGTGTTGCCAGGAGTGTCCCTGGCCCAAGGTGTGCGCAGGATGTCCACGGAGGTGCCCCTGGCCTCCACTGCGCTCCTCACGAGGCCCTGAGGATCTCATGGGACTCCAAAATGGAGCGAGAACATGGTGGCGGCTTGGGCCAGGGACGGTCCTTACCTGAGGAGTCCAAGTCAGATCCCCTCCTTCTCATCTTTCTCCCCATGCTCCTCCGATTGTCGCTCGCACCTGGCGCCTAATGGTGCAGCGGTGTCCTGCGCGCGACCCCGCGGGGGCGGCGCCCTGGGGTCTGAGCACCCCTACAGCTCCACCGCCAGATGGCGCTTGGAGTGACTGGCGAACGGCGCGCGCGGTCCCGCGCCGATCGGTACGATGTGGAACGATCGTTCGAGGTTCAAGGTTTTCGGGCGTTTCTGTCGGTTCTCGGCGGCTATCTTCCGTTTTCCAGCCTCGTGATGCTTCCGAGCAGCTGCGCCTCGCCGGGAGGCGTCCCGGGGGGTGCCCGACTCGTCCCAAAAGCGGCCGCCAGAGACCCGAGCTGTGACCCGAAGGCCAGACGATTCGGAGGCAACGTTAAGAGGAGGAGGAGGAGGAGGAGGAGGAGGAGGAGGAGGAGGAGGAGGGGGAGGAGGGAGGAGGAGGGGGAGGAGGGAGGAGGAGGAGGAGGAGGAGGAGGAGGAGGAGGAGGAGGAGGAGGCTCAGGGTGGAACGCATCGGCCCCCAATTCTCCCATTGATAGCCGCAAGGAGCCTGGCAGCCCGTGCAGATCGTCATCGGGGGCCCGCCGCCGATCCATCGGCGAGGTGTCGCCGCGTCCAGGTCGACGCTTCTCCCTCCGAGCCGGTCCCCCCTCGGCGCTCCCCCGGGCCAGGAGCGTGAGGACAGGAGTCGGTGTCGGCGCTGCCGCCGCGCACGCTGTCCACCGGAGACGACGTCGCCCGCCCGACGTCGGCCGCTGTGGCTCGTGGGCAGCAGGTGCGGCTGGGCCTCGCGCCCGCTTCTTGCGAGCCCGCCTCGGGCGTGCCAGGCCGACCGCGCCGCGCCACCGCCTCCGCCCCGATCTTGCCTTCGCCCAGGGGTTCAAGGTCCTCTCTTGGTCTGTCTGCCTCGCCCTCCCTCTCTCTGTCTCTCTGTGTCTGTCTCTTGATGTGTGTATATATATACATATTCATATGCTCATTTATACATACATATATGTATATATATGTATATATATATATATATGTACTTGTCCCTTTCGTCTATTTGAATTGGTCCCGGGGAGGGGAGGGGGGGCGACACCGCCAGAACGGGATCCCCGACGTCCGGGGCTCCTGGACGCCCCCCCAGACAGACGGTCCAGCGAGACTTTCTGGGCCCCGGGGAAGTCCCCGCACAAGCCGTGCCAGGGGGCCGGCGGCGGTCCCGAGAGGCTCCCAAGACGATCGCAGGAGGGCCGCCAGCGGCCCGGGACGTGCGCCGGACGCCCGAGTACGGCACCAATTCGGGGCTCGAGGGAAGGGTCGGGGGTGGACAGAACCCCCAACAGTGACACGTCGATTCGTGAATTGTCCGTTTTCGGTTCTCGAGAGGGCGCCGTGGCCGTTATTTCTCAGGCCTGCGCCCGCCAGGTTTGGGTCTCAGGTCGTTTTCACTAAACCACGTTTTACTAAAGGGGGGTCTGTCCATCCCCGAAAGGGGGTCAATGCAAGCGGGGGTCAGAGCGCCGGATCTTGCAGGATGCTGCAGAGCCAGGGGCGCATTGGCCCAGGCTTGGGTGCAGGATCTTGCAGGATCCTTCGCATTGACCCGGGCTTGGTTGAAGGATCTTGCAGGATTCTGCAAGCCTTGACTTACCCGGGTCTGGATTGACCCAGGTCAGAAGATCCCCGACAAATATCACCCCCAAGAGGCATTCGGAACGCAGAGCATCTATTTTCCCATGTGCTGGTTGTACGATTTTGGTGCGGGCAAGGCTTCTGTCCATATCCACTGCAGCTTGCAGTTCAGGGCTCCCCTTCCCCAGAAGCCCGAGGCGCACTGGATACTGGTCACAACAGCAATAACAATAAAGACGAAACTAATAATAATAACAATAATAATAACAAGAATAGTAGTAATGATCATCAGAACAATTGTGTTTGTACTAATGGTTTATCGAATGACAATAAGAATAATAAGACAAATCCGTCCCCCTTGGAGGCTCGATCTCTATGACTCCATCCATATCTGATGCGTCTCGGCCTTGTGGCGCCCTTTCCAAGAAAGTCCAAGACGCACTGGATATGGATGTACAGTCGGCCCGGATTAGTAGGTCGACCCTGCCAGCTCAAGGGTACGTTTGTGTGCTGTGCCTCGCGACACGTGCCTTCATACACTCCTATGGCGATGTTGCCCTCAAAAGGGTCTTGTGTCCTCTCGCGTGTCCTGTCCAATCAAGGCCGACTGTAAATCTTGCCCACATCTGGGCTACTCGGTTATTCGGTCTCCCAGGCTTCCGGAAAGGCCCGAGAGGCACCGGAGACCGCTCCAAGACGACCACAAAAGTTTTCCGACGCTTCACGCACGAGTGTTCCAAGACGGCCCGAGAGGGCCCCGAAATTGCCCACAGAGTGCCCCATGACGGCCCACAATTGCCCCAAGGCGCCCGGCAGAAACAATCAAGCCGTGACCCGAGACCCCTTGTCGCGGCATGGAGGTCCGAGGACCCCCCCAGAGGCAGCCGAGAGGCGCCAGGAACGTTTCCAAAGGCGCTCGAGGAGCAGCTAAAAAGCATTCGCGAGGTCCTGCAGAAGCTCGCCTCGAAGGAGCCTCCGCAAACAAGTCTGAGGAGGATTGGAAAGGGTTCGCACAGCAAGCAAGGCGAGAACGAGAAGGTTAAGACGAAGAGGAAGAAGGCACATGAGATGGCGGTGATGGCGAACATTGCAACCGAGAGTGGTCGTTGTTCTGATTGGTCTACGTATCTCTCATTGTGTATGCATATTCGACGTGAAGGACCAAGGAGCATAGCGCGAAGCGCCAACACAATCTTGTGTATATGCAAATGTATGCTTCGGCCTTGGCGCCTCATTCCTAGCATGCATATGAACGTATATACTGGACGTCAATTCCAACCCATGTAGACGCGCGTGTGTGACGGTAGTTCGCGTGCGTCTGAAAGATTGCGTGTGCAAGGCAGGGTGAGAGAGGAATAGCGGAAGAGAAAGAGAGGGAGAGAGAGAGAGAGAGAAAGAGAGAGAGAGAGAGACACATACATACATTTCTCCCACACGTGCATGCAGTCTCGCTTCGAACATGCACCCAGGACAGGAAATAGCTTTTGGTCGGACCGAGTGCACACCCATTCAGGAGTGTCCCGTAGTATGACATGCGATGCGGATGGAGAGGCGCCGCTTCCGAACAGAGGAGACGGTGGCCGCGGCATCAGCGACACAACGAGAGGAAGGGCATGGGGTGGAGGAGGAGGAGAAGGAGGAGGAGACCTCCCGCCCTTCCTGATGGAATCGCTACCGCCTTCTCTCCGCTTCTGGCCGTCTCCCTCCCCGCTCGCCTCCTTCGACCAGGATCAATCGTTTCAGGGCGTTCCAGTCGACTAGACGTAAGAATGATCTCGTTCGCCGGAGTGATTGTTTGGTGCGGGCCAAATGTTAACAGGATGTTGGGTCACACTACCGCGCTGTTACTGCCCGCTGGATATCTGATCCTAGCCGGCATCTCCCCTGGGCCCAGTTGGCACTTTCGCTCGCTGTTGGCATGTTCTGCCGTTCGATGGTGTGCGCATGCATGTCGCCCTCGTGAACCTTCAGCGCAGGGGGGGGTTGTACCACCCAGATCTCCGCGAGAAGCGAGCATGCTCGAGGTCTGAGCCCGAGCAGGGGCGGATCTGCGGGCACTTGTTTGGCCGCGTTCATGGTTCGATTTTAGCTCACCAAGCGCATTTCACTACTCGCCAAGTGCCTGCTTGCAAACTATCAGAAAATGAATGTCTTCCCTTATGGAATGGAGCGTAAATGTCCCGCGGCGGATGTTGCTCATTTGCGAGTAGCTGCTTTGCAAGTAGTGGAGCGCGCCTGTCGATTAGCGGCGAAAA